GCCGGGGCGGGCCTGCGGGAGGGGTGGGGGCCAGCTGGGACTCTCTGTCGCTGCGGGGGGGGGGCGGCGGCCGAAGCAGCGTCCCCCCGGTCAGAAGGCGAGTTCCGCGCCTCTAATCACCCGGCAGAAGCTGCAACCAGGTGGGGCTGAGAAGCCCAAACTCTCGGTCTTCGGTCTCGACCGGGATCCCAGTCCAGCCACACGGTGGGCGGGGGCTGGTTCTGAGCCCGAGACCTCGCAGGACCCTGACTCCCAGCCACAGTCCCAGGCGGACGCTGAGAGGCGAACGTGGGCCCAAAACCAGGTGGAGAGCCCTGGAGAGGGGTAGTGGGATCGGGGTCTCCCTGGTATGAAATCCGAGAAATTGGGGACACATTTTTTGAGCAGGGCAAAGGGAGTCGATGTCTGGTTTCAAATCTGGCTCTGCTGCTCCCCAGCTGTCCCTGAACCTCTCTGAGCCTCAGCTTTCTCCTGCAAAGTGGATGCGCAGAGGCACGAACTTCTTGGGGCTCTTTGGGAGATCAAATAAGGAAATGTGTTGAAAGTGAACAGCACAACGCCTAAAGACAGAATGGGGGCTGGAAATAGGGTGTCCTCTCCCTGTGAGACGTCCGGGGAACCGCCCAAGGGAGGGACCGTGTACAAGTGGAGTCCATCGGGTCCCAGCGGCTGGAAGGGGTAGGTAGCCACTCTCTTTGCCCCCAGCTTACCACGCACAGCGACATGGCCAGCAAGGGTCACGAGAGCGAGCACCCATCTGTGACACTCTTCCGTCGGTACCTGCGCCTCCGCACCGTCCATCCTGATCCCGACTACGGTGAGAACATGGAGGTTGCAGGGCCTGCTCTGGGGCCCTGGGGCGGGGACTGTGCCCTAAACAGGCTCCAACCCCTGTCACCCAGCTGAGCCCCACTCTGATGCCCCCAATGGTGCCTCAACCTCTCTAGCCATTCCCTCACTATACAGCCAGCTCGGCCGTGGAGGGACATCCTTGCAGAGGCTGTGCTCCTCCAAAAGTTACTCCAGGTGGCTAATTAAGGAACAACTTCACTTCACTCTCCAGGGCTTGGGTGGGGAAGGAGAGTCTGGGGCAGCCACATGGAAGAAGAGGCCTCCAGAGGCCTCCTGGGGCTGGACAAAGGCCACAGCCCTTAGAGAGTCAGGCTTGGTGGCTGGAATTGTAGACACGAGTCCAAATTCCTGCTTTGGTTTTCCAGCTGAGGGACTTGAGATGACTGTCATTGGTTTTCCCTGAGGGACTTTAGATGACTGTCATGTCTCTGTGCCATAGTTCCCCCACCGTTAAGGAAGATAACAATAATACCAGCTTCTAACCCTGGACTTCCACAAAGGGTCACTGGCTGGCCAAAAAGATCTTCCCTGGGGACAGAAGTACAGGTGTCCCTGAGGGATGTGGGATTGTGTTGAGAAGGAAGCAACCCGTTTCAGGGTCTGTGACCATCTCTGGAGGTGTCTCCAGAGATGGGCCGGGGAGGCTTGCGTAGGCAGGAGCAGCCCCAAGACTGTCTGTGTCCCCAGGGGCTGCGATGGCCTTTCTTGAGGAGAGAGCCCACGAGCTGGGCCTGGGCTTTCAGAATGTGGAGGTGAGCCTGGGGCCCTGTGTGGGGAGAGGCGGTGGGCCTGGGGAACCTCCTCACCCTGCACTGACCACATCCCCTCCTGGCCCTCTCCAGGTGGCACCTGGCTTTGTGGTGACCGTGCTGACCTGGCCAGGCACCAACCCTAAACTCTCCTCCATCTTGCTCAACTCCCACGTGGATGTGGTACCCGTATTCAAGGTGTGTGTGTTGAAGGGAGGGTGTGCGGGGGACAAAGACGAGGCCGACGCTCCCCCACTCAACCTCAGGGAGCCCCCTCCTGGCGCTGGTCCTGGCGCTGGTCCTGGCGCTGACTGGACCTCACTTGGCATCACGCCACTCAAGCAGCCTTTGTCCAGCAGCCGTTCCATGCCCATGAGGGGTGCGGAGGTGGAGGCGGGAGGCAGAGATGAGGGACGGCAGTCCACTGTCCTCTTCAGCCCTCGTCTGTCCCCTTCGCCACCATGCTCCCATCACCCCAAACCTCCAGTGGGCTCCTAAGGCAGAACCACCGTGGGTGCAGAACTAAATTTGGGGCTTGGGTCCCCCTTCCCATCCTTGCCTCCAGGAGCACTGGAGTCATGACCCCTTCGAGGCCTTCAAGGATGCCGAGGGCTACATCTATGCCAGGGGCGCCCAGGACATGAAGTGTGTCAGCATCCAGTGAGTGTCCTCCATTCCCAGTCCCCCACAGTGTCCCCACTGGCCCCTCGGAATGACCCAGAGCCCAGAGTGTGATCGGAGAACCTCAGAACTGAAGAACATCTTGACCCCTTCCATTGAGCAGGCACTGCTGCTATGACAACTGCATGGATGCGGAGGCTGAGGGACAGGGACTTTCCCGAGTCCCCTGCCCGGCTGTGGCAGAGCAGGGCCCACGGCCTAGGGCTCCAGCCCTGCCCGCCCAAGCATGTGGCGGCTCCTTCGGCACCTGCTTATACCCTCTCGCTGCCCCTCAGGTACCTGGAGGCTGTGAGGAGGCTGAAGGCTGAGGGCCACCGTTACCCCAGAACCATCCACATGACCTTTATGCCTGGTAGGGGTGGCTCGGCAAGGGGCACCTTCGGGGGAGGGGGGTGTTTGGGGAACATCTCTCTCATCTCATGTCCCTCTTTATAGATGAGGAAGTTGGGGGCCACAAAGGCATGGAGCTGTTTGTACAGCGGCCTGAGTTCCAGGCACTGAGGGCTGGCTTCGCCCTGGATGAGGGTGAGCAGGGTGGCAGGCCACTGAGTGGCCAGCAGGGGCTAGGGATGCTGCTGGCGGGGCTGGGCCACTCCACCCTCTGAACCCCTCTCCTCCCACCTTAGGCCTGGCCAACCCCACTGACGCCTTCACTGTCTTTTACAGTGAACGGAGCCCCTGGTGTGAGTATGGGTTTCGGGGGAGGGCATCACTGTGCAGACGGGAGACTAGGCCAGAAGGGGCAGGGGCCCAAGGAGGCCTTGAACTCAGGGCCTCTGCCTCCCAGCGCCTTCCTGCCTGGGCTTCTCTTTGATGAGCTTCTGAGGTCAGGCCCTCCCTAGGGGCAGGAATCAGCCCTGCGCTGTGCCTTCTGAGGGGCAGAGCCCTGCCGAAGGAGCTTGAAATGAGGGGCAGACCCGGGCCCACCCCAGGGCCAAGTGCTTTCCCAGCCCGTCCCGTGCTGATGGCACCCCTTCCCTCTGCGTCTCCCAGGGGTGCGGATCACAAGCACCGGGAACCCTGGCCACGGCTCGCTATTCATCGAGGACACAGCCGCAGAGAAGCTGGTGGGTAGCACGCGGGGATGGAGTTCGGGAATTCCCGAGGCTCTATCCTGGGCCCTCTCTCACATCCGACCTTACGCTCTCCTAGCACAAGGCTGTGAGCCTGATCCTGGCTTTCCGGGAGAAGGAGAGGCAGAGGTGAGGCAGCCTGGGAATGGGCGAGGCTGGGAGGCTGTTTCCAGAGGAGGGGGGCCGAGCCTCCTTTTATATCTGTTGTTCCCCCTTGCTGCTCCTGCCCCGGGCCCCCACCACAGGCTGCAGTCAAACCCCCACTTGAAGCTGGGGGCCGTGACCTCTGTGAACCTGACTAAACTGGAGGGCGGCGTGGCGTATAACGTGGTTCCTGCCGCGATGAGTGCCAGCTTTGACTTCCGCGTGGCACCAGACGTGGACATGAAGGTGCCATCGCCCCCTGGGTTTGGAGGAGGGAGCCGGGTCCTCGATCCTGGTCTAGAGGCTCATCCTAGGGATCTCGAGGGACCAGCTCATCTCCCTTCTCGTAGGCTTTTGAAGAACAGCTGCGGGGCTGGTGCCAGGCAGCTGGCGAGGGCGTCACCTTCGAGTTTGCTCAGGTATCGACTGCGAACCTATGATGGGGGCGCTGTGGGAGCTGGGACACTGGGCTTGCCAAGTGTGTATCACCGTGGGAGTGTGTGCTCGGCGTGCCCACGCACACGTGGGCGCTGCTTTAGCTCTGAGAGACGCATGTTAGGGGAGGCCGCTGCTGGCAGCTGGGGAATAGTGTAGGGAGTAGACGTGGTCTTGACCTCTTCGTCCTTACAGCGTGAAGGGGGTTGCAGACCTGAGTCAAGTGTTCATATTACTTCTCTATACATATGAACATGTGTGGTCCAGAAGAGGGTGGACCTCGTAGTCTGAGACATGTAATTGGAGTATTTGACCAGTCTGAGAGGTCGGGGAGCCCCCTTGAGGAAGGGGCTCTCAGGCTGGGATCTGAAGAATGGACAGGAAGTAAGTGAACGGGGGGCAGCGGAAGGTCTCAGACCTGCGGCCTTTGCGGACCTGACAGGGCCTGCGGAACTGGCCGGCTGGATGCCTGGGTAGGGGGTGGGGGTCGGGTGCGTGCCCTGTGCCAGGTACGTACCCACCCTACGAAAACACAAGATGCCCAGGCCCTGTCCTGACCCCGCCATATTCTTCCTCCTCCCAGAAGTGGACGGAGCCCCGAGTGACATCTACTGATGACTCAGACCCCTGGTGGGCTGCGTTTAGCGGCGTCTGCAAGGACATGTGAGTGTCCTGGCCTGCTCTCCACTCCCCGTTCCCTCTCTCCTTCCTCTACCTCCCTCCCACCGTCCTTCGCCCCTTTGCCTCTTCCCTTGCCCGCCGCCTCCCCATTCCCCGGGCTCTCCCCTCGGCAGGAACCTCACTCTGGATCTGGAGATCTTCTCCGCTGCCACTGACAGCCGCTTCCTCCGCGCGGTGAGCTGCTTGCAGTAGGGTGGGCAGTGCGGTGGCCCCGGGCGCTGGCCTTTCCCCTAACGGCTCCTCCTTGCCCCTGCAGGCAGGGATCCCGGCTCTGGGCTTCTCACCCATGAACCACACGCCCGTGCTGCTGCATGACCATGACGAGCGACTGCATGAGGCCGTGTTCCTCCGTGGGATCGACATATACACACGGCTGCTGCCCGCCCTGGCCAGCGTGCCCGCCCTGCCCAGTGACAACTGAGCCGCACGCTCCTCAGCCTCCACCACTGGGGCTCCCACCTGACCAGTGCCAGGGGCCCTTCCTCACTGCCCGACAATAAAGGTTATGCGTGGACAGGAGCCACTTCTGAAATACTAACAGCAAGGACATTCATGGAGCAGCGTTTCTCATTTCTCTGGGGACATGCTGTTCCCATCCCCATTTCACAGATGAGGAAACAGAGCTTGGCTCTGGGCATGTCCCCACCACTCCACTCTGCTGTGTCCTTCAACACAACACACCCACCCTGGACCTCCTAGCCACGTCTCTGTCCAGCGGCAAGGGGCCGTAGTTCCCAGTCTCAGAGGCCACCATATCTGTATCTGACCTGTGAGGCCAGGGATACCATTCCCATGGAGAGGGACAGGGGAAGGCCAAGATCTCAGGGGATTACGCCTGGCTTTCTGGGAGCACACTCAGGATCCTGGAACAGGACCAGAACTGGAGGCCAGATGTGGGGCAGAGGGACAACTGGCAAGGCATGACCGCTGGCATTTGTCGAAACCTTGCCAGGGCTGACAGGAAGGGGGTGTTGAGAGCACGGGTCCCAGAGGGGGCAGGAGCCCTGGTGGACCAGGTCAGTTCATCTTAGGGTCCCCAGCACCCCGGACAGGGATCATGGGTCTGTGTGTACAGAGTAGCCCACAAGTTGGGCTTCAGTCTGTCAGCCTAGCTAGGGCCCCAGGCAGCTCAAAGTGTCAGCTGTGACCCTGAGAGCTGATCCTGCTCCTCCAGCCGCTCTGATCTGGTCCTGTTCTGACCTCCCTAAGCATGGGGCCCGGGAGACAAGGAGAGCTGGCTTTGGAAGCTCCTGGCTGTGGCCAGAAGTCCAGAGTCTGGTTCTGTGGCCTGCGGACTTAGTCCTGGTAGTAGAATAACCCGGCTCACGGGGTTCTGACAGGGACCCAGCACACCGGCCAGCCCCACTCACCTTCCCGCAAGCCTCACAGCCACCCTTCGATGCAGGTTTCACTGCGCCCCACCTTAGAAGTTCTGCAAGAATAGCTTGCCCGAGATCACGCAGCTTGGAGGTAATGGAGACATGACCTGAGACTCAGGACCGGGGGGCTGTGCTTCTTGCACACAGGCCCTGCGTGCAGCTGGGGGCGAAGCGCTGCAAGCTGAAGAAAGCCCAGGTGAAGCCCCTGCCCCGGGGTCTCCTGGGATTGGGGTCTGGCCTCCCAGGATGATGGGAAAGGAGGTCTTCATGGCCCCTGTCCTGGAGACTGGAGCACGGGCCTCGCTCTGGAAGCCATCCAACCTGGTGACCTTACGCCGGACCAAGCCACCTTCAGGACACAAAACCTGCTCCTGGTCCCTTTTGAGACCCTACCTCCTATCTGACACCAGCTGGTGGGGGCAGTTGGCCACCCACAGAGCATGCCAGGATGACAGGAGCCGGCAGCCTTGCCCTGACTTCCTGGGGCCCCGCACGGACCACCTGGGTGTCAGTGCTACCTCCACCCCTTCCTAGCAGTGTGATCTCGAAAAAGGCTCCTTACCTGTGAAACAAAGATAATAGTAATACCTCCTTCAGAGGTGGGGGACCACATGCCAGGGTTGCATCTGCTGCCCCATCATGATTAATAGCAATTCTTTCTGAGCCTCCCAAGTACCAAGGGGCTGGACCACAAATTACATAACCCTCATACTCAGAGGCTGGTTTTGAGGACCAAGTGTGACCAGAAGCAATGCTCCGCCTGGCGCCCTCCACAGGAAGCCTGTCACCACTCCCCCACTGGCTTCACTGGTCCCTCAGAGGACTGCAGGTGAAGCAGCTGACCCAGGGGGCCCAGCAGAGAGGGCCCTGCCTCCCAGCACTGACACGCGGACCCCGGGAAAAGCCCTGAAGCTGAAAATCTACCTCCATAAGCAGACGGCAGGGAAAGACCAAAGAGGCAGGCCACTCGGTCTGATGGCATGGCTATTGTCCATGAGACATGGCAGTGCTGAGGGATTACACAGAACAGGGCAGACAGCTAGGACACAGGAGCATGACCCATTCCAGATATGGGGAACCACCTTGCATCCTTGCCAGGGGCAGGGCAATGGCTGTTCCAGCGACCAGCACACTGGGCCACAGGGGAGGGGTTGCTCTGTCTGAGCAGGTTACGGGACGCCATCTCCGTCTGGCCTGCGTGTAGCTTGCAGGACCAACAGCATCGTGTCATGGAAGTCTCTCCACACTCCGTCCCCATGACTGGCTCTTACAATCTCACACCCCCTCCTCCTTCCTTGAGGTGCCCTAAGCGGTCAGCCAGGGGCTTCAGGAGCAGGGAGGTAGCTGGTTTAGTCTCCAATTATCTGTGTCAGAGACACCGTCACAGCAATACAGACACACGCAAAAAAAAAAAAAGGCAAATTAAAAGTAGCAATCCAAGTATTAGTGACCCTTTCTCCACCATGCCCGCCGCCCCAGGACCTGAACCAGTGTGCTAACAGGTCACTTAGGCTTGGGGTTGGATCACTTGAGGACTTTTGAGATTTCATATGTTAACAAAAAAGAGCTATTAGCAGACTCATCTGGTATAAAAAACAAAGCATTCAGTTCGGATGACGGCACAGCTGGTGCAGGGAGCTGTCACTGGATGCCGCAGGAACAGCACAAGTCTAAGGTCAGAAAGACAGATATTTAGTAGGGACTTGAATCAGGTGTTCTGGTTTTCTTCTATGACTGACACTTGTAGCCTGATCTTTGGAGCTGAACGCAGCTGTGCCTCGGGAATCTGGCTGGGCTGTGTAGACAGGGACAGGTGATGCTTTGTCGTGAACAGGCAGGGGATAGGCCAGACCAGGACCCCTCTGAACGGTGCATGTACTGGTCCACGTATAGCACAGGTCCACGGGTCCCAACTGCATCAGGATGACAGGGCCCCACCAGAGACTGAACAGTCCCCACCTCCAGGGATCTAAAGTAACTGTCCCAACCCGGCAGAAGATCCCACGGCAGATTCCAGTAGTTTCAGTTCCAAGGACAACAGTGTTTGGTGGCCTCGTTATTAATCTTTTCTTTTGGGTGCCTGTGGCAAGCAGATCCTGCCACATCTGCTTCCGGGTTAGCCTCCCAGGTCCCTTCTCTCCTGGGCATTCACTTTCCCCTCAAACCCCACTCTGAACCTTCCCCACAGCTTGGACCCGGTCTCAAGACTGGTATCCCCCAAATCTTCAACAAGAGCACCCAACATCCTGTCTTGACCCACTGTGGGGCTGTGAGGCCCTATGCCTTCCCCCGTGGTGTGGGAACCAGACTCCTCTCTTACCTTTGTGTGGGAACTGGGCCTTGCATCCAGGTTGATGCTACATGCTCACCTCATTTCAGTGGATTTCTCTCCCTTCCCCACCAATTTACCTGCCCAGAACATTCCTGTAAAAGCCTGCCTCAAGCCCCATGTTTCAGGTCCCATTGCATTTGGGGCTGACACCTTTGGCTCAGCCTCACTCACTCTGCTACAATAAACCTTGCTTAACCTTCGGCCTTGTGCATTCCTTCCTGCGAACCTAATGCTCAGCATGGACATACACATCTGGTACCGTGTCTTGGGGACTCTGCAAAATCATTCCT